CAGCAAGGAGGCAGCCAGTCCTTTTCTGGACATCCTGTATCAGGAGAGCCAGGTGTAGGCTAGGCCTTAGATTTTAAGCATTCTATAATGCCAGCATTGAATGGGCTTTACCTGACCTACCATGAAAGGATCCTGGCCTAGTCCCAGCTCAGCCACAGATCAGCTGAGAGGGAGGAATTCGAGAAGGCGCCCCATGTCTTCATTTACTCATCCATCCATACACTCCGAGGTTTCTGAGCACCACTGGGTACCAGGCACCGGGCTTGACTCTAGGATGCCACGGTTAGAAGACAATCTTAGTGCCAGATGCTCACGAAACCTACGTGACTGCACCTGACCGGGCAAAGGCAAGGGAAGGACAGCACAGGCTGAGGGGCTGAGAGAACCCCAGTGTGTAAATGCAGCAGGTCACGGGCATAGCCAGCCTTCAGGGCGTGCCAGGGCCTGCTGGAGTAGACTCGGTCTTGAGCTGATGATGCTAGCAGAATGAATACTCTGCACTTTGGGGGGACTGCAGACGAGTGGAGAAGGTGTACCCCACAACCTGCATCTCTCCTTTTTGGGTGTAACGGTTTGGACCAGCAATGAGGTCTAGTAGTTGTTGGCCTTCCTACAGATAGCTTCCCGGATGCCCGTTACTTAGCTCTCTGCTGGCTTTAGTGAGTGTGAACATACTTAGTACTCTCCTTAGGATTCCAAGTGGGTTGAAGAGAAGCAGCTACTCATCAGAACCAACCAGGACTTGCTGGAAAAGGTAAGTGACCCCCTGCTTCAGAGAATCAGGAAGCCCAAGGTCCCCAAGGACCTCTGAGGTCTGCTCAGACCACGTGAGTCTTCCCCAGGTCATTTTGGGCACTGCAGGGAGGAGAGCCATAGGGCCCGGGCAGCTCTCATGAGGGGAGACATCTTCCTCACTTTGAATCAAAGCCCAGTTCCTGGTTCTGTCCTTTAGGATGGGCCCACAGAGCCGGTTCAGACCATCCTCCTGGGCATCCCGCAGACATGGGGAGAGCTCCCCCGTCCTCCCAGCATGTACTGCTGCCATTGCTTTGGGAGTCCAGAGCCCCTCGGGGATCAGGAATGGTTCCAAGGACTTATTCCTCCCCCGTTCTCCCAGCATGTACTGCTGCCATTGCTATGGGGGTCCAGAGCCCCTCAGGGATCAGGAATGGTTCCAAGGACTTATTCAAACTCTCTCATCTACGAACATCATCTTATAAGCTGGGAGATGGTGTTCCTCTTACCCTGCTTGGACAGAAGCTGAGCACGGGGTACTGAGTAGCTTCCCGGCATCTCCTAGCTGAGGCGTGGGCCCAGTCTTGCTTCCCTGACTGATACGTGCTTTGGGATAACTGCTACCACGAAGGCTTCTTATTGAACCTTTGTAGGAAAGTAAGAAACCCTTCCTTCCCTGCTGTGCTTTGCTGGGACGCTGTCAGGTGGACTGATCCTGGGGCAGTGTGGGTGAAAAAGACACCGACGGGCTTTGGGAGAAGAAGCACCACCCAGCTGCACTCTCGCTCCTTCTGTTCTCCCTCAGGGGAGGGACTTCCTAGCTTGGTGCCTCTGTTTTCCCACCGTTCACTTACTCGGCTACTATGAAAGGGGCCACTGCTCCACCGGGCTAGGCTTGGGGTGACGGGGTGGACTCGGCCCAGCCTCGTCGGCAGAAAGGGCCTGCCGTGCCTGCTTCACACACTTGCTGCCACCCTGGCTTCCCCTCGCGTCCCCTCCATTGACTCAGTCCCATTTCCCTTAGGCCGCTCGCTGAGGCGGCCTTGGCCAGGAGACCCTGGTGAGAGACGGTGGGTCCGCCACCAGCCTGTTAATCCACAGGTATCTCTGCTCTAGATTTACAGGCTGGAAATGGAAGAGAACCAGCTGAAGAACGAAATGCAAGACGCAAAGGATCAGAACGAGCTGTTAGAATTCCGAGTGCTAGAACTCGAAGTAAGAGACTCTATCTGTTGTAAACTCTCAAACGGAGCAGACATTCTCTTTGAACCCAAACTGAAATTCATGTAAAGCTCCCAGATGTTTTCAAGCATGTGTAAAGGGGACATGTTATAGTTTCTTTCTTTCTTTCTTTTTTAAATCTGTATGTTCGGAATACTTTCACTGCCTTAATGTTCTGGAGAGAATGCTCACGGAAGTCTATGGACATGTACCAGAGCTAATATATTTATTGCCTACAGCTTGTTTTGCACTTAATAAAATAATTTGTTTTTGCAATAGTTTGCCTTTTTTATTTGTGTTTCATTTCCATAACTACTTCTTTCCTGCATGCATAGTCACTGGATACGTACGCCTTCTGCAGACTGGACAGAAGCACTGTTGCAATTAATAACACACCTTTTTAAGTGATCTTGCATGCAGCGAACCTCACCTTTTGAAATAGCAGAGTCTAACCTGGCCCACAGTTAACCCTGTAATGTGTGTAAGGCCCGCTTGGGCAGTCTCTATGTGCTGAGGTAAACGAAGGTAAGTAAAGACAGGGTGGAAGAATGGATTTGCTTAGGCCTTTAAAACAACGAGTCACGTTGCTCAGCCTCTTTGATCCAGTAAATGCAGACCCGGGCACCACAGCAGTATTGGACTAAAGAAATTACTATTCGGATCTCAAAACTGCAGCTCAAAACTGCTGGAGGGAGACTGAGTACTGTTCACACGTAGGAACCGAGTTCCTTCAGGAACGTTGCCAATGCACCGAGTGGACTTCCGTGAAAGAATATTGATGGTTTTGTCGCTTCCAACTGAAATCTTGCCTCGGGTGTGTTACTGTGTTGCCTTGCTCTCATGGCACTTCATAACCCCCCCTTTTCGTTTCTGTTTAAAAACCATCAACATTTTACACATCACTTAAGTTTGCGATGAGTGTCTGTAAGCACTTGTGGCCACACGGCTCTGCTTCCTCACAGCTGGACCTCTGCATGTACGGAACCTCCCAGTGAGCACCGTCACAGTGTCCGTGGCTGCTCCCGTTGTACTCTCTCCCCAGCTTCAGTTCCGTCCCGTCTGCCTTAGCACCACTCATCCGCACTTGTGCTGGAGGGACCCGGTTCTCAGCACCGAGGGTCACTGTGTCTCTCAGCTCTTGCCCGAGCACACCCTGCGTGTTTTCTTCATGCGACAGAACTTTGAAGTGACGGGGGCCGTTGCTTATAGCGCTGCCACTGTCAGAAAGCCTTTCGCAAGTCTTTGTTCTGAGTCCTTCTCATGAGCGTCCCGTGGGCGCTGCTCAGTGTACTAGAATTTTCTGTGTCTCCACTGTCCTTCAGAACCGTTAGAAACCAGTATTGCTTACTTTCATTCGTATAAAATCTGAGCTTTCTAGGCCCTCTTTTCTGTGGAGACTGTTGTTGACAGAAAGGCACCTGAGGAACCGAGCCGTCATAAATCGCATCCTGGGCTCATACGGGAAATAAAGCTTTCTCTCTAGATTGTGTCAAACCTAAGGGAGCCAGGCTGGGGCTTCACAGAAATTAACCGAATGAATGGTCCCACCTTTGCTCTTTCCTGCAACCATAGCCGAGAACGTCTTAAGACCTGCCGTCTAAATCTGTGCTGATCTTGGTTGTAGTTATTCATCAAATTATGAAAGAAGCCCATTGGTTCTGTAGCAAGATTCTGATGGAGTGGTCCAAAGCATATTATTTTTATCTGGCTTTAATTTTGATCAAATGGAAGCAGTTTGATTTAAAGGTATACTTTGCAAAGACCTTTCGGCTGACCCTTTATGACTTCTCTAATAGTCTGTTGCTAGAGAATGAAAGTCAGCTCCGTGTAGGAAATACTTTGGAGACCAGAGTATTGTTAATGTGCTTTGTTCCTGTAAATCAGTAGGCTTCTACTGACCTTTTTAATAACTTGCCCCTTTATCTATGACTAATAACCCCTTCTGGGAAAAAAGCTTGCTGTCCCCTTAGTCATTGAGATTGGACTATAAATCTAGGAGGGGCAGGATGCTCATGAGCTGTGTCAGTGTGGTTCTTGTTAGCTGATTATACCGAGAAGGATGAGAAGCCAGGGTTTGGGGCCTGGCTCTGCCGCTCACAAGAGTGGCATCGTGGACTCAGATTCCCTGAGCCTCCCTCTGTCTACAGAACAGAAACAACGATGCTTGCTTCATGAGGTTGCGTGTGGGTAAACTGGGATGACGATGCGCTTGGCACTGAATAATGCACCGTAGTTGCTGGGTTTTGTTATCTTGAAATTTAGTGTAATGGTTTTTATCCGGTGCTGTAATTCTGACACCGTGGGTTTTTGATCTTGCAGTAGGTAAACTCGTGATACTCTGTTAACCATCATTTTTCCTAGCAACGTAGGTAAGAAGTAAACAGATTTCCAAAGGCGATCTACCGCATGGGAAGGTGGGAAAACATATTTCACAGACGAGGAGGTTGTAGTCCGAGTGCACTGTTAGTAATTCCTTTGCCTACTGGAATTCATTGGCTTTTGTGGAGTAACATGGGAAAATGGCAAGTGGTGAATAAACCAGTCAAGTTCTGTCTTTAAACCGAATCTTTTCCCCAGGAGAGAGAGCGGAGGTCGCCAGCATTTAACCTCCAAATCACCACCTTCCCCGAGAACAACAGCAGCGCGCTCCAGCTGTTCTGTCACCAGGAAGGAGTTAAGGTAGCGTGCCTGGGGGTGCCTCCGCGAAGCTGACAAGCCCGCCGGAACGCCAGGTTTACCTGTCCAGGGGGATTGTGTCCTTGTGCCGGCAATAGAACGGATTTTAATGAGGCCCTCCTTGTCCTCCCCCCATGGTGCAAGTCCTAGTTCGCTTTTGTAAAGGCTCACCCGATGGTGATGAAAGGCCACTCTGTGTTTACCCACATTAAAAGAGCAGAGATTTGGGAGACAGGCTGAGCGCAAACCCCAGCTCAACCCCTGCCTGGCTTTCACCTGTGACTTTCCTGAGCCTCAGTCTCTTTTTTATGTAATCAAATGAAGCCAGTATGATGATGAGATTAGACCTAGCGCCCGGCACCCAGCTCGTGGGTCATGCTGTGGCTGTGACAGTGGCCAGGGCCTGCCACACACCAGGAGCCCTGTAAGGCCCGTGGGTGGTATCCTTGACCCAGGGATTCACTGGGCCTTCCTAGAAAGCAACGTTGGTGCTGGCGTGAGACTCGTCAGCGAGCGGCAGCTATGCCTTCTCCCTCCCCAGAGGAGCAGCAGGGCCAGACTGAGCCCTGCTGTCTGTACTGGGCAGTAGTGTCTTCCACAGTGAAGGCCGTGGCCCCAGAGATTGCTGTGGACGGTCTTTGTAGCTCATACCCAAATGAACATTGGAAATCTCTTCCAGGATGTGAATATTTCTGAACTTATGAAGAAATTAGATATCCTTGGCGATAACGGGGTAACTATGAGCGATCGGTTTCTGGTTTTGTGTTCTCGTTTCGATCCGGGTGTACTCTGTGTGACTTTTGTTTTGTTTTGCTTTTAATTTCTCTAACGTAAGAGATCTACTAAGTACAATGTAAGGCTTTTGTATGGCCGTGTTCCTGTGGGGGTGGTTGGGTCTGCATTTGTCAGAGGAGGGCTACCAAGCATGGTCATCCTCATAGCCTGTGAGTGATGAACTGGACAGAAAAGCCTAAGGGCTCTTAGAAAGAAAGTGGACTCTCTTGAGAGGGCTGAAAACAGAAAGCACTTTTTTTTGCCTTCCTATAAATTGGCTTGAATGAGGCCTTGTCTCTCAAAGGCTTAGTGCCACGACGCGAACTGTCCCCATACAGAGGGACAGGAGCTCAGCTATGTGACATCTGCGTGACACTCTGGCCCCGTTAGCGAGTGGGGCTGATCCCCAGGCGCAGGGCCGAGAGGAGCTATTGCGGTTGCTTGGTGCTGACTGTCTGCACGTGGATTTGGGGTCCAGTGTGAAACGCCCTTGCCCATTTTTGTGTTTTAGAATTTGAGAAATGAAGAACAGGTTGCAATAATCCAAGCTGGAACTGTGCTTGCCCTGTGTGAAAAGGTAGACCCCAGCGGCATTTCTGTGCTCACACCTGTCCCAGCTCCCAGCACCATACAAGAAACTGTACATTGGTGTCTCGCTTTGTCTGGGGAGCATGCGTTTCGGTTAGTCTGTCTGCATGTGCACATGCATGCCTTCCTGTTTTCTGGAGTGAAGTCACACATGCTCCCTGCAGAGCAATTAGAGGCTGCAGGGGAGGAAACACCCCACCCAGACAGTCCACGACACCCAGTATACTGCCTCCCAGTGTGTCCCGCACGCCCGTCACTCGCGGAAGTCATACTTCATATCCGGTTTTTTTATCCTGTTTTATAAGCTTCCCCACACCACTACAGAGGCTCACTGACATCTGCGTTACTAGCTCTGTTCTATTGCAAGTTACGGAGTCATCCCTCCACTGTTAGATACCCGGAGTACTGCTGTGTCGCTCCTGTTTGTAATCACACAGCGGGCAACACCTTCACACGGCAGTTTCTTTCTGCATTCTAAAACACGGCCATAAAGCACATTCTAGAATCATTGAGCCAAATGGTAAGAATGTTCAGAAAGGCTTTGGTATCGTCAGAATAGTTTCCAGAAAAGTAGTAAACCTTCTACCTGCAGTGTTAATACGTGGATTTCATGCGTATTACCATGAAAAAGAACTTCGTCAATTCCATAGGTAGCGAACCATGTGGTGTCATTGTTTTCTCACGTGAATGCTAGCATCGCTGAGCTTTTTTAATGTGTGTGTGTTATCTATTCTCTTCACCTTCCTTGTGATTCGTGATTACATTTATTTCAAAGATTTCCCATTGAGTTCATTCGTTCATTCACTCAACAAATATATATTGGTCGTCATTGTTTTTCTTACCAACTTCTCTGTATACTTTACCTATTAAGGATGTTCACATTTTGACCTAGTTCACATTCCTAGTTAGTTTGCGTTTTGCTTTGGTTTAGGATGTTTTAGATATACACGTTTTTTTTTTTTTCTATAGCCCTGTCCATAGGTCTTTTTCTTTCAAAGCACACAGGTTAAACCTTAAAGTGCTATTGTTATCATAGTCAGGTCTCAATGATCCTGAGGAGATTCCTTCCAGAATTTTGGAAAGGGATTTCAAATATAAATAGTTTCCTTCCCTGGACATCTGCTCATCACCCCCCAGTCAAGTAAGAGGCATGCTCTTTTGGTAACAGAACATGGCAAAGCCTTGCCCAAGGTCACACGGTTAGTGA